GAATGTGTCACATCCAGGACCGGACCTACGTCACTGGAACTGGAAGTGCATCCATAACAATGATGTAACAACACCAAGGCCAGATATGGTGTCTCCCAGCAACCACCATATCTTATAGTTCTTAATTTTACAGGAGAAATATGAACGATGGTACATTAGCATCTTCTATTTTGGGGTAGATTAAGTGTTTTTTCCTATATACACCACTAGTGCTTCAATACTACTTAATCAGCCCAAGATATCAGACAGATTATTTATCAGTCAGCTGGTTGCAGAAAAAAGCCTACAAAAGTCATTATACAAACTCCAGTTCTGATTGCCCTAAAAACATCACTTTCTCTAGTGGTTGTTCTTCCTTTTGCACTCCATTTTTCTTGGATCATACAGAATACTTTAAGCACATCAAAGATACTACACATTTCTCAAAGACTTTTTGTTTCCTCTTATTCTACTCTTTTATTGTTACTGTTTCATGTATACAACTTTATACAAATCGGTTGTTTAAAAGCAATGAACATAAAGAAATAAATGACTGATTTAACAGCAGATAAGAATGGATGATAGAGGTTTTCAGCACCTCTTTACAGAAAACATTTTCTTCCCAGTTCTTATAAAATTGTTTGGTGTTCAAGTGTGGTCAGCACTAAAGAGAATCTGTAAATCATATAAAATGTTTTGACATCATCTGAAGTCTTTTCAAGAAAGAGAAGTTCAAAAACCAACCAGAACAGTCGGGGCTGATGTGCACAATTAAAACAATTCAAAATCTGTCTTTTTACCTATAGATGTCTTGGTGATTTATTTTTTTACATTAAGTATTTTTAGAAAAACATGAAAATTAGAATGCATATAGGGTTACATATTTGCTCTTTGAAACACTTTGCCTCTGTGCAGAAGTTTCCTGTAATAAATACAAGTCTTTGCAGCTCTCTTTCTTTGCACAAGGTGACTGGTCTTGTATCCGCCCCTCCTGTAGTTTTCTGGAGGCAGCTTTTTCTGGGGGGGGGGTCCCTTAGGGTCCCACCCACAGCTCTGCTCTTTGCACAGGCTGTGTTCATGTTAGCCCTTCTTTTATACACTAATATCTGGGTTTGTAAATGCATTTGATGCACACAAAGCACATTTTTACGCTATTGAAAAATGTACAGTATTTCAATGAAAATGTGTGTTCTTAGAGTTCAGCTGTAATACTTACCTGTTGCAAAGCTAAGCTGGCTAAAAAATCTTCTGCATCTGACGCAGTTCCAGTTGTGTCAGACGTCTGGTCCCCTCTGTTCTTGCTATGTGGTTTCATCTGCCACACAGAGCACAACGAGGTACAAGCATCTGACACTCCTGAATCTGTCAGATCCAGAAGATTTTTTTATACTGCACAATGCTACAAGGCATGGAGGAGCTCAGCTATGAGGAAAGATTGGAGGAACTAAATTGAGGAAAGATTAGAGGAACTGAATTTATTTTCTCTTGAGAAGAGGAGATTAAGGGGGGATATGATCAACATGTATAAATACATCAGTGATTCATATAGTGAACTTGGTGTAGAGCTATTCACCCTGAGGTCATCACAGAGGACAAGGGGGCTCTCTTTACGTCTGGAGGAAAAGAAATTTAATCTCAAAACACAGAAATGTTTCTTCCCAGTTAGAGCTGTGAAAATGTGGAATAGACTCCCTCAAGAGTTGGTTCTGTCCAGCTCAGTGGATTGCTTCAAAAAAGGCCTGGATTCTTTCTTAGATACACAGAATATAACTGGATACTAACATTTATAGGTAATGTTGATCCAGGGAATATCCAATTGCCTCTTGGGGGATCAGGAAGGAATTTTTTCCCAGCAGGTGCAAATTGGATCACGCTTTGCTGGGATTTTTTTTTTTGCCTTCCTCTGGATCAACTGTGGGTATAGAATTATAACTTTTTTTTTTTCTATGGTTGAACTGGATGGACTTTTGTCTTTTTTCAGCCAGACTATGTAACTATGTAATGCAAGAGTTTGAATATCAGTGGCTGAGGCAGTGGGGCAGGTAAGTATTAATTATTTTCTAAACAGGCTTTTTTTTCCTATTTTTTTAATGTTTATCTAGCGACAGATTCACTCTAAGAACTAAAACGACAGACATTATAATTTTATCCAAATTTACTGTTTATGTAAGAATACTTCACATTCATTAGGAACCAGCTGCTATGCTAAGATACTGTGGGTGTTTACATATTTTTATTAAGAACTGTTATTATTTCTCTTCAGCGACCAATCAGCATCAGACCTGCCCTTAAAATATAAATTTGTTTGGTATGGGGAAATAAACAGTCCTTAGTAAGAACACATTGGGGTTAATTTACTAGAACAGGAAAGTGCAAAATCTGGTGCAGCTGTCCATGGTAGCCAATCACCTTCTCACTTCAACTTGTTCATTTAAGCTTTGACAAAAAACTGGAAGCTGATTGGTTTCTATGCAGAGCTGCACCAGATTTTAAACTGTTCAGTTTTATGATCAACCCAATTGATTAATTGAGTCCCTGTATGTTTTAATGATGTCACGGGTTTCCACACTTGTCTTTGAAATGTCACTTTAGTCTTGATGTATAATCTAAAACGTCATAACAGACAGTATATGTAGGCTTTAAATAGCAGCACTTGGTGTATTTTCCTGAGCTCTAAGTGCACCAGGAAACAGTACATTACACTGAATGGCCTGATACACTTGAATGCTTGGTGAAGTATTCACTCTGCTTTGTGGCACATCAAAATCAGTGCTATTCAACTCATCCCTCTGTTATCATGTGTCAATTGTAATTATTCATTGTTCAAGTAGAGGAAGAAGCCCTTGAGGTCATATCGCCAACGTGGGAGAATATACCAAGTAAGAGAATAAACAGTTTGTTTAAAGACTACTGTGATATCTCAATGGCAGATGCCCTTTATTCTGTTAGAAACTTTAACTCCTGTCTTATTAGCCTAAAATTGAAGCTGCCACTCTTCCACTCACAGGCCAATTGCTAGTTCACTGAAAATACATGTTCTAGTGAAGACAGTAAAGAGAATCTGTCCCTTTGCCCATTTAGGAAAAAGTGACAGTGTCTTGAAAGCCCACCCCAACCCACTCATACACACCTCCCTGCCACTCCATCGAGGCCCTCGCAAAATATCCTGTGCTTCTGGGTATAGTGGAGTACATGACCTCTCTTCAGGATGAAGTGCTTGCACCTTATGTGAGGAGGGCACCTCAATCCCTTTGTGAAGATCTGACATCATCCAATATGGACCTTACACATGGTTTGACCCCTGGCTTCAATGTAGGAAAAGAAGAGTTGCAGAGCATAGGAAAGGTGAGTCTGATGATAAGTAAAGAGCAACTTTCAAGAAACACTAGCACTTTGTGACAGAGTTGTATATGGAAGCTTCCATTAGTTTTTCAGAGACACACTTGCTCCTTACCATCAGACTCAAACACTTCGATCCTCTAAAGATCATGTGTCCTCCTGACCCACAGTCATTCCTACTGTGTGGCCTAGATGGGCTGGGTGCACTATTCTCACCTTAACTACTGTAGCTGATTCTCATGAATCACTGAGTTGGTATCCAAGAAACATGGAAGGAACATATTTCAGCATTCTGTATTTTCATGTTTTGATAGAATCATCTAATTCAAAGGCTACAATTTAAGTAGCAAGATATTACTATTTAAAAGTTTGGCTTCCTTTAAGTGTGTGTAGAATTTGCATTTAAAGCAAATACACCCCAACACTAAACTCCAGAAGAAAATCTAGCCACTGTGGTGCTGACTGGTACCAATAACATGTAAATGCATTTTTCAGAGCACCTGGCAGCCCCTGAATCTCAGGGATACCTACAGAATGTAGCTTCCTGCTTTGGAAATTTCAGCACCGTGGAGCACCTCCAGCAATTTCCACAGTGCAGTTGGTTACTGAGGTTATGCATTGCATATTGGGTGTACGGATCAGGTCAGTCTTTTGAGTTTGCTTGCCTTATGTACCCAAAATTAGGAAAGCCCTGGGGTAGGATAGGATTATAAAGTGACTGGAACTGATCAGCACCTGGAGGTCCCTTATCGTCTTTTGAATGATTAGTTTTGGGGGTTGCATAAAGTTATAGGGATACTTTGAATTGAGACTTCTGCCAAAATGTTTTTTTTGGTTTTGGATGGTGCAGGGAAGGGTAAGAACCTCTGCTGGGATTTCATTTTCTATCAGGCCTCATTGGGGATATTTCCTCAAACTTTTTGTCCTGGTAGCAACATTGTCATGCAGTGAGGGAAACCTCCAATGGGGACACAGTCAACTATAAAAATCTGTTAGGAGCTTCAGACATCCTATACTCTACTGTTTATTGATGTCTATATCCCTTTTTTAGATTTCTCTTCACTTACTATCCTGCTGACCCATTGTCACAAGGATAGGAGGTAAGTAGAAATCATCCAAATGGGGTAAAGATAACAATAAAAGCTAATCGAGGTTATAAACCTTTTCCACGCTATCCAAAACTAAAAACACATTTTGGCTTGAGATATACTTTTAATAATAAATGAAAAAACAACACTATAAATGCAATTCTATGCCTCCCATCAATGATTCAACCTAAATTATGTCACACCCCACTTACAACAAATGTTTGAAATATACTGTATACAGTATATTCTGTCCAAACAGGTCATGCTCTTTAAGCCTTGTCCTTTTTTGATGAAGCTCTTTTAGTTATGGTGTCCAGGAATGAAGACAGTCCAACCAAAGTCAAAAGATACCAATGGAAATTGTACAGTTGGCGTTTGTTACATTCCTTAGAAATTCTGTTTAAAGAAAATGTAAATTTTTTGCATAACTATGATCCAAAGAATCCCCATGAAGAAGGAAAACAATAAAAAAAAGGAATAAAATAATAGGAAAAAAGTTGAATGAAAAATGTTGCTGTTTTCTTGAGTTGGAATTAAAGTTATACTCTCCCTTGGAGAATGAAAACTATTAGTCTGTGAAGGTCACAATGTAATTTAAACTCTTGTGTGTCTACAGGTTCGTGAAGCCCCAGTGGGGGCAGTCGATGTTGCTGGTGCGGCAACACCTGATGTGGAAGGAGAGTCTTCATCTGTGGTTTCTCCGTGGTCTTCTCTTTGAAGACCAAGGGTGATATGACTCTGTAGGGCTGCTGGTGTTAGCCATTCTTTTGGAAGGCAGCTCTGAAGAAAAGGGATACAGGAGCTGAAGTAAGCTAGACGATTCACCCACCGGGGAATTTCTTTTCCCCGCACAACATCTAAACATACAAGGACAACAGTGTTAAAACTGATGAAGAAACTTAATTGTATGGAATCAAACATTTGTATAATGTGCAATGTCTTAACAAGCTCTGTAATCTGGTTCTGGTGCAGAACTATTTTTCTGTAGAAGATGAAAGATCAACTCCCGGATAGGCAAATATTTTTTAAATACAAGAGACATTTGTATTGTTTCTTGAATCTTGGTGTGCATTGTGTATTTTTTCCAGATCTGTGCAGTAATCCAGTGTGAAACATATCCACTGTAATCAAGACTAGCCACTGCTACTTTCTTTTCTTGTGCAGGGTGACAGGTCTTGCCAGGACAGGTATGCGCCCCTCCTTTCCCCCTGTAATTTTCTGCAGCAAACTGTTATGGGTGGACCTTTTGGGTTCCTCCCACTTCTCTGCCCTCTGTACAGGCTATGTACAGCACAGCGATGATGTCACTGCGACTTTTGCAAGGTTATATCTGGGTTTGCAAAGACATTTGGGGCACACAAAGTTGATTTTTATCCTTTAAGAAAATAGTTGAATTAACATTTTTGTTCCTGGAGTTCAACTTTAACTGAAAAGCCAAAAAATACTCTGAAACATATATTTGTGTTTGTTTTCCCAGATGAACCACATTCCCAGTGACATCACACATGTATGTGGCATCATGGAAGTGGCTTTTTTTCTGTGGCACTGCATATATGCATGCCTTTCGTTTGTGCTGGGAGAATGCAACATGGCCCTGACAGCTCACAATCTAGGAATAATGAGGAAGGACCAGCTTCTAATCACATGATCACTGTGATAGCTTGTGATTGGCTATCACAATGATCAATAGTTTTAGAACCCTCCCCATCTCTTTCTCCTCTGTGAGAAGAAAGAGACACATTGTATAGTTTTTTTTTCCTCTCAAGTGGAGAAATCTGGAAAAAAAAAGTATGCTAACTAGTTCCTGAGGTACGTACTGTATATATGCGGCCTCTTGGTGGGTGGGCTTAAAACGCTGAGAAGCCGCATATATGCATCAATCTAAACATATTGCATCTAATGCATACTTGCATCGGGATCATGTGATCATTTGCTGTGACTGCAAATCACAGCGGTAACACGATTGGAATGTCTGCCTCCACCTCCCAGAAGGGCTTAGAAGAATAAACAAATAGACAAAAAACAAGATCGTACCCTGCTCTACATTGGTCTCAGTGTGTTTCAGGAAGGATTAAACAAACCAGGAGATGGTTATTAAAGTAGAACAAGAATATGGGAGGGTTATAACCCGTCAGATTTTTTGTCACCATCTGTGTTCCATTCACTTCCTGTCTGATATCCAAACAGGAAGCGAGAGGAAAAGCTTTGCAAATTAACCATTTGCCCTCCAGAGGATTTACACCCCTTCTTGACCAGGCCATTTTTTTAGTTACGGAGCTGTATTACTGACAATTGCGCGGTCATGCAATACCGTACCCAGATAGAATTTAAGTCATTTTTTTCCCACGAATTTAGTTTTCTTTAGGTGGTATTTGATCGCCTGTGCGTTTTTTATTTTTTTTGCACTATAAGCAAAAAAAGACTGACAATTTTGAGAAAAAAACTATATTTTTTACTTTTTGCTATTAAACATTTCCAGTAATAAAAATTGAAAAAATCGAATTTCGGCATAAATTTAGGCCAAAAAAAATCCCAATACGTGTAAATGAATTGATTTATATATTTTTTTTTCCCCTGCTAGTAATGGCGTCGATCAGCGACTTTTAGCGGGACTGCTGCGGACATTCTGACACGAGGGGAACTAACTTGGTGTCACTGACATCCCCAGTGACACCAATACAGTGATCAGTGTAACAATCATGCACATAGGGAGAGGCGCGGTTCTCCATTTTGCTCCAAACGTCTGCATTTTGGTATTTCTCTTAAACTCCTATGCAACTACCTGAGGGGGGGAGGGGGTAACAATCGTGCACACCAGAGCCAGACACAATCCTTATTTTGTTAAGAATCCTTCATGGTTTTCCCTCATTTCCTCCCTCCCTCAGGAATGCGTTCAGTGTACGGTGCTAGTCCCCTGCCTTTATACAATCCTTTTACCAAATAAAGCTATTGGGTTCTGTTGTAAGAGACACCCTGTTGACTTTGGGTAGAAATAAGCTGTTATGCTTTGTGTGTGGTGAGAGAATGAGAGATCTGCCCTGCGTTTAACATTACTGCAGAGTCTCCTGCCATGAAAACAACGAAACTTGCAGTCGAGACAAAGAAAATCATCCTGGAGCTCATAAGCCTTGAAGCTGCTTAACCCAAGGCGTTTTGGCAAGTGCTCATCTACCTAAACTTCTTTCTGTTACCTTTTTGCTGTGCTGTGGTTCTCTGTATATTTATAAATATATATATATATATATATATATATATATTCTGGTTGCATTTTTTTTCCTGTAAATATTTTTATTGCACCCCTTTGACCTTTTAGTAATAAATCTTACTTTCTGAAAGTGTTGAACTGTTTCTATAGCTCTTTAATGTAACTTATGAATCCCTGCCGCTGAAGAGTGCTACTATGAGTGTTTAACCCTCTGTATAACCTGTCTGCGGAGATAGCGGTATACTGACAATTAACCAATCATCCTAGTGTATTGCTGGAGCTCCCTCTTTCTCAGTACAAAAAGGAGGTGGTGGCAGTGTGAAGGGTTAATTGTGTAATTAACCTGACCCACTAACAAATGCTCCCAGGCTGCAGGTACATCGATTGTGGTCCAGTTAGCTGGAAAATCGTTGTGCAGGGTGCAGCTGGGCGTGGCCTTGTTATGCACGTGACATCGCAGTTTCAGATTGGCTAGTCCTTCAGTCACGAATTTTGTGAGAAGGTCAGGGGTCTGATGCCGCACCCATCACAATCAGTGCTAAAAAAACAGCACTGACACTGTACTATTGACTCTGGGCAGGAAGCGGTTAATGTGAGGGGCGATCAAAGGGTTAACTGTGTGTAGGGAGTGTTTTACTAGGTGGTGGGGGGGTGTGCTTTACTGTAAGTACACTGCTGTGCACAGCCATCCCAAACAGTGTGCCTGAGCTGACAGGGAGGAAGACTGTTTGTACACAAAACATTCTGCTTCCCCATCGGTGATTGTTGGTAATCACCGGGGCCCGGCGGGTAATCGGGTAATTCGCGTGGGCTGCGAATGGTGGCACGGGTAGGGAGCACACGTGCCTCGCTCGTGCCCCCCCCCATACCAGGAACTGCAAAGTCACATTTATATACGTGATTTTGGGCACCATGCCGTCATTTAGCAGTATATCTGCTATACAGTGGCGGGTAAGTGGTTAAGAAAATTCCTTGGGGCCCCCCAGGTCACCAGAACTAGTGTCCCCATTAGAAGATGTCCCCTCTATTACTTTTCTGAGGACAACCCAAAATGTGGGATTTTCTTTTACTTTCTTTTTCAATTATAAAGGTAAAGAGGACATATAGAGAAGGTGAATCTCCCTAACGGGGGAACAGACGGCAATGAAAACTGACAGGGGTTCTAATCCCTCTCCACTCTGTCCAAAACTACAAAATTTTTGATTATTGGGAGAGCCTCATGATCAGGAGTTTGGAGCTCAAGAGATTGGGGGGAAAAAAGTGCAACTCTTAAAGAGACACATTTAATTTCTCGGCCACCATCCCTTCTATTACTCTCGCTGTCCGGAGTTGCAGGCAGCATCTGGAGCATTATATCTGGTGGAGAAGAGTAAAGGAGATTTACAGAGATTCTGGAGTTTACATGTAGATATCCCTGTTGCAGATACACAAGCGATGCATGCCAACCATGAGAATGGAAGGCATGTAAATCTGGTGAGTGCATACATAAGGGCAGGCATTTGTTAAGAGCAAGTGGTGTTTTTGTCTGGGAATACTTGAAGATTGCTACACTGAAAGAGATATTCACGTCTCACAATGGACTTCATTTTTACACACTAATTAATTGATGTATGTCACATGATTGTTTTGTTTCATGTTGACCACTGGAATATTTATGCTCATTTATTTATGCACGATATATTTGATTCAAAGTGGCAGCAGTGCTTGTTAGTCACAATTTTATGTGAGTTATTGTATTAATTTAATGCACGCATTCAGCGCAAGTGGTTTTTTGGTTGTGTTTGTCTAAAAAAAAAGTTTTGTCTTTAGGTATACTTTAACATTTCTTATCAAATGAAGGCACAATTTATGCTGAAAAAAAAACAAGATAATTCATCTGAATACGCTGAGTAGTTGCAAACATACTGTATGTACAGCTGTACTAACAAGGTTGCAAAACTGGGTTCAGGCGTTGCGCTCCTGTATGACCTTTACCATTAAAGTGTTACTAGACTCAAACATTTATTTTTATTAAAAATACTCACCTGCAATTCTACTGCACAGAGCATCCCCGATCCTCCTCTTCTCGGGTCCCCCGTCCCCCCGTCTTGGCTCCTCCTCTCCTTTGTGTGTTCCCATAGCTGTGCTCCATAGACTTACACAGTGCCCCCACCCCCCACTTCCACCTCACTGCATTTGATTGACAGCAGCAGGAGCCAATTATTCCTGTTGCTGCTCGAGTCCTGTGTGAGGCGGAAGAGAGGAGAGAATAGATGCAGCCATGCACAGCGCTGGATGTGTTCTCCCCTCTCTTCACACAGGGAAGGGGAGCAGAGAAATAGAAAAAATGTTTTACCATAATGCAAGAAATGCAGTAAGGTAAAAAAAAGTGTCACTTTAACCTGTTCCCGCCCGGCCTATAGAAGAATGACAGCCGAGTGGGACACTCATCGATCCGGATGGGTGTCATATGCCATCCTCCTGGATCTCTGCCTTCACACACCCGTGGGGCCACGCTGCGGCAAGATCTGTCCATACGATACAGCTGATGACCGAACTGTGTACCAGCCCATTGCTGGAACCATGTGACTTCTGTGACCAATCATGGCTTTCTTTCATGCCATCCGTTGTGTACAATTGTGTTGTTAGCTGTGATTGGTCACAGTGATCACATGTACAGACTGGGCCAATCACAGCCCATATGTGTCATATGATTAGCTGTGGCCAATCACAGCTAATCACAACAAAAAAGACTGAATGAATCAATTTCATTCAGTTAAATGCTTGCTTATAGCAGTGAAATTCCCTGCTTTAGGCAATAAAAAAAAAAAAAATACTGATCACTTCCCCAGAGTAGTACAATGTTACTATGGTAACGGTATATTACTGTTGTCACAGTGTTTTATTTAAAAAAAAAAACTTGCAAAAAGAGTGTCACAGCCCATGGGCATGTCAGCCTGCTGCAGAGAGGCCACTGCTTACTAGCAGAGAGCAACAGATGTCTATGGCTGCACCCTGATGTGATTTATTGACTTCAGTCTGGGTTCCCAAATTTTGTATGGCTCAAATCGCACTGCAAAAGGTATTGGTTTTTGAGCATTTGCAGGAGTATATGTACTTGTGCAAATGCTTAGGATTGGCTGTACTTGTGCAAATGCTTAGGATTGGCACCAATACCTGTACCGGTATCGGTATCAGTGTAACCCTAGTTATTGGAATGCAACTTTTTTTCAATAGTGGTTCTTTAGTTTGCTATAAATTAAAATTAAATTAATCTTATTTAGATATTTCTATTTAGAGTTGGTTTAGAAATATAGCAACTAAAGATGTGCTGTATGAAGCGGTTAATCATTTCTTTGTTTATTTGTTCCATTGTTTCATGACCGACATCAGCGAAAAGTCAGTGTGAATATTCCAAACATTGGTGCTTGCTGTGTTCAAGTCTTTCCCTTCCCTTCCATCTTTTCTACATCAGTAGCTGTCTTTTTTTTTATTTGAGATGCTATAATGTAATCACACTCCTCCAGATTTATTCAAATGAGAGAGCAAACAGGGACATGGCTGATGTGTTAACAGCACACAAAAGGAACATGAATGCAAATCAGCTTGGTACCAGGCAGGTGGGGTCACCATGTCACAGACCTCAGCTAGAGCTGCAGAGAAGTGATTGCAGTTTTTGTGCATTAAATGGTAGGCGTTGCCCTTATATTCCTTCCCTAGCTCCTCCATGATGTTATCAATGTCTTCCTCCGTGAAGTCTGTTGTACCAAGGGCAATGGCTTCCCTGTAGGAGACACAAATGACAGAATTGATAAGGAGACCCTGTGACCACCATTAAGAACAAACGTCTGCAGTACAATGTCAGCTAGATAAGGTAGAATGGACTAATTAAAGGTTCAAGGGAAATTATGATTATTTAGTTTAGACATTTAACATTTCTTAAAGTGTACCAATTCATTTCTATCAAATGATTCATCAGAAGGGTCGGCAAATCATAACTTTAGTTTTGTCTAAATATGTCCATCTGAAAATCATGCAATTCTAAAAACTAGACATTTGTGCGTAATAAATTGTATGATGCTCTGCAGACTGGACATGTCTGCAATTATATATTCAGGCAAATCCAAAAAAAAATCATTATTTTCTTAATTTGAAAAGTGAAACCTGTTAGTACATAGCAGGTTGTTGTAAGGAAAGCCATGGAAGTAAAACATATACTAGGGATTGTTGTTAATATTTTTCCCTTTTCGATGTTCTGGGGTTTGGCTTTCAAACCAATAAATAGATCTAGAAATATACGCAGCTGACTTTGTCATAAAATCAAGTTTATTTTGTTAATACTGAGCTTGGCTCTTTCCCTCCTACCTCTCCAAGCTTACCTAATGGTTGAGATTTGCAACTTCAGCACCTATATCTCTGGATGTGCTAATCATTTATATAGATTTCACTTAACCACTTGCCCTCCAGAGGATTTACCCCCCTTCCTGACAAGGCCATTTTTTGCAATACTTTAACTGACGGTCATGCAACGCTGCACCCAAATGAAATGTACGTCCTTCTGTTCCCACAAATAGAGCTTTCTTTCGGTGGTATTTGATCGCCTCTGCGGTTTTTATTTTTTGCGCTATAAACAAAAAAGGACTGGCAATTTTGAGAAAAAAAACTGTCTTTTTTACTTTTTGCTATAAAAACATCCAGTAAAAAAAATTTCAGAAATCAAATCTCATCATAAATTTAGGCCAAAATGTATTCTGCTACATGTCTTCGCTAAAAAAAAATCCTAATGCGTGTAAATTAATTGGTTTACGTGAAAGTTATAGTGTTTACAAATGGCGGTATGTATACTGGAATTTTCTTTTTCACTAGTAATGATCAATGGCGATCAGCGACTTATAGTGGGACTGCGGTGGGCATTCTGACACTGGGGGGAAACTGACTTGGTGTCACTGACATCCCCAGTGACACCAGTACAGTGATCAGTGCTATTAAAAAGCGCTGACACTGTGCTAATGACACTGAGCAGGAAGGGGTTAACATGTGGGGCAATCAAAGGGTAAACTGTGTGCTGTTTCACTGTGTGCTGTGTGTGCTTTACAGTGTAAGCACACTGCTTTGTATGGCTCTGCTATGCAAAGCCATACAAAGCAGCGTGCAGGAGCTGACAGGGGAGAGATCTGTGTTGTTTATACACAGGTCTCTCCCCTGTTGAAGATACTCGGCGATCACTGGGTGCCGGCGAGGAAGTCACAAGGAACATGGTTCCTCTATGGTTTCCTGAGTCACTGGGGCAGTGATCTGCTTGAATGCTGGCAACTCAGGTAACTCTGGTGGCCATCTTGGGTGTGGCAGAGTCTATTTAAGACATTAGCCCCTGGGATTGATGTGCGTTCGTGTGCGGGTAGTGTAGGAATAGGTCACCTGTCTGTCAGGGACAGTATTAAAATTAAACATGTGTATATTTAGAACATCATAACCCAGTACTTCCTGAAGACGATCTTTGATCGAAACACGTCGAGGTTTGATGATGCAACTTCCGACGATGTCACATCCGCACGCTGCTCCGTGGAGCGGTCAGGTCAGCGGCTTCCATCTTTGATTCACAACAAGGCTGAGTACACCAGATATCGGGCTATAGGCACTTCTCTTGTGAGTGTATATTTATATAATTACCCCCAATAAAGGTACCAAACTGTTTTACACTATGGGATATCCCCTTCTTTTTCTTCATACATGGTGATACATTTCTTTGTTACTTGCGGAGCTGTGGAAATAGCAGGTTTTTTGGAATTTGTTCTTTATATGTCACGGACCGCCCTAAGGATAGATGATCAGAGGCTAAAGGATCTGGGGACCATTGGCTTACTGGGATTGTTCCTCAAAGCGTTAATGACCACTCTAGAGATAGATGGTCATTGAATGAGGGTGAGTGTCTGTCCATGTGGGACACTTTTGTTGAGCACAATGGAGCACTGATCATGATATTGAATACAAGCTGAACACCAGAATGAGCACCTTCTTTTTTTCACTGATTATGGGACTGGCTTATGATATGTTCTAAATATACACATGTTTATGACCATGCGCGGTTCATCTGCTTTTTAATTTATTTATTTTTTTTAGAATTTTACACAAATATAGGACTGCTGTAATAGGTCTAGTTTGAGTTGCTGAGTGTGGAATATCAATAAGCACAGAAGGACTTTTTTTCTATTTACGTTATCACAGGGACAGTATTAGCAGCAGGAAAAGGTTCCAAATGGAAAGAAAAGCTTAGGGCTCACATTCCCCTTGGACATCTTCCTGTTTGGGCACAAGGCCGGGCCATATTCTGCCCCTCCAGACAGATGGGGGTTTATTTACTAAAGCTGGAGAGTCCAAAATCAGACTCCCTTCTGCATAGAAACCAATCAGCTTCTAACCTCAGCTTGTTCAATGAAGCTTTGGCAATGAAACCTGGAAGCTGATTGGTTTCTATGCAGAAGTGAGTCTGATTTTGGACTCTCCAGCTTTAGTAAATAAACCCCATGCTGTCTGTTCAGCTGATACTTGCTCTGCTACACACTGTTGGCATCCATGAGTGGTCCCGGTTGGGCCTTCTCCCTCTGGGTTTCTTGTGAACTGTTTTGCATTTACTACAATAAACGTTCTACAAATTGCACCTGGACTGTGTGTTATTGCTGCTGCACCCACCCACAAGCTCATCCCTTTCATAGACTATATGCTTGCTTCTATGACAGTTCTATTAAAATAATGCCAGTCATCAAAAGAAAGCAGTTTGAGTACTCCTGACCCACCATGTACTCCCAGGAGCTTGCAGTATGAAACTTGCATGCTTCATAATGGTACAATACATACTGTATATGTGATGGGGCAAGAGCCTTCTTGTTCTCTACTGTGTTCATTTTAGTATGTAGACTTCTATATAAGTCTGCCCTTAATAGACATTTTACATTTCTTGGACACTCCAAAAGAAAGATTTCCCTTGAAGCTCCATTCTTCTTTTGTTTTGGATGATCCTGCCAATTTTTGGAGTTTGATCTCCTCCTGTTGCATTGACCACATTATAAAATAAATGGAAATTATAAAAATAGTGGGATCCTTTCATAATGCCACCCAGGTGCTCAAGTACAGGAAGTGATGACATCTTCTCTCTCTGCACACATTCCATTCCAGAGAGAGAAAAATCCAGACACAGTTAGTAAAAGCAGCACACATTTTACAGTTAGAACACTTTAGGACACATTTAACCCCTTGATCCCCCCCAGTTAGTGTCACCGGCGACTTCAGATAGCGTTAGAGTCAGTTAGCTCCTCTCCCACATAGCGTCAGATTGCCCGTCAGTACACCAGTAATCACATTTAATCCCTTGATTGTCAGGAAAATGCTCACATAAACAATAAACCTCCATTGCTAGTATAGTGTCTGAATGGATCAATATCTTTTGATCAGATCAGCACTACACCAGCGTTCACATTAGTATAGTGTCCCCAAAAATGCAGCATTAGCAAGATCAGCCTGTGCACCTGCCAGCACCTGCATTTAGCCCCTATGCTTACCCCTCCTTCTCCCCCAGCAGGTGCAGTGTCAGTAGGTCACTGTCACTTGATACATTGCACACAAAACCGCAGTGTTTGCAGAATCAGGCCTGATATCTGCTAGCACTTGCAGGTAAATTTTGTTGGAGCGGTTCAAGCAGTCCCTGACGGCCAGGGGCTCTTTTTCCCATGTGTCGCACTAGGTACGTATAAATTTAGTGGCCAAAATGTCAATGGAAAGGTACTCTAGTGAAGAGACTTACAGGATTCTGAGCATGTCAGGTGAGAGCAAAGGGGAAGACTCCCTGACACAATCAGCCTCAGAATATGAACCTGTAGAGAGCAGCGGCACCCTGACAGATAACTCAGACGATGGAGAAGAGGTCCCTGTTAAGATCAGGTATACCCAACCCTGTTCTCAGGTTGCTGAGATGTTACATTCGCATGATGACTCTCATATGCAGCAGAGTGCCAGTACTAGTGCCCCTCTACCTTTTGGTGAACTGGCGAGCACCAGTGACCTAGTACATCCTGGTCTTTCACATACCAGCACTGCAGAATCACTTGGAGTCCCATAAGTGCAGTACAAGCTGGTACGGAGGTGAGCACAAGTAGTGTCCCGCAGCCACCAAGAATTCGCACACAGGCTCGTAGAGCCCCTAGTATCCTTCAGGACGTGCTTGCAAATACCGATTGGCAGCCCACAAATTCTGCAGCACCCGTACTTCCCCTATTCACTGCCCAACCCGGAATTCAGGTGGGAACAGCAAATTTAAATACTCCCTTTGACTTTTTGGAACTACTTTTCACGGAAGATCTGTATGCATTGATTGTGGATCAAAGAAATGTATATGCACAACAGTTTATTGCCGCCAACCCAAATTCAACCCTTGGCAGACCATTCGCATTGGAAACCCATTACAGTTTCCGAATTTAAAGGATTTTTGGGCCTAACTCTCAACATGGGCATTACTAAAAGAAATGAATTGCGGTTGTATTGGTCCACAGACCCAATTCATTAAATGCCCGTGTTCTCTGCTGCCATGGCCAGGCATAGATATGAAAGCATAATGTGTTTTAACAACAACATACTCTGTCCTCCTTGGGGTGACCCTGAATTTTACCAGCTCCACAAAACACAGCCCCTTATAAATCACCTTAACCAAAAATTTGCAGATGTATATACTCACCAGCAAGACATCTGTGTTGATGAGTCCCTCATTAATGTTTTTGGCCGCCTTGCATTCAAACAGACATGGAATTAGGCATGACATCCGCTTTTTTTGGCCCTCCTGTCCTGGCCAACCTGGTCTCTGCCTCAAGGACTGCTTTCGTCGCTACCACACACTAGTGGAGTATTAGTATAGGGTACAGTACGGCACAGTTCAGGGCACATATTTACACAGGGTCTCGAAAGATGTTAGGTAGTTGAGAAACTGGTTATCGAATTTGGAGAGACCCTGCAATCTGTTTTAAAAAGTTAAAAATTAAAAAAAAACACATAAAAAATAAAAAGTACAAATCCCCCCCAAAATTAAAATTGTTAAAAACCAAAAATAGTTATATTTTTCTTGTTGTTGTCATTGTTGTTACTGTTCTACTGTTACAATTTTACTGTTACTGTTTTACTGTTTACTATTGCTGTTTTCTTTGCAGGAATGCCATTCAGCTGCAGCACCAACCTGTTTATTCTGACAGCAAGAGGAACTTGCTCTCAGAATATACATAACTCAGTGTGGACAGTGGTGTTGGATGAGATTTTTCATCCGCGGTTAAAAAAGAGCATATATGCCGAATCGTGGGGGCCTGGGGTGCCCAGTGGGTAGATGGCCCCTATGCTTCGGCATATATATTTTATAATATTTTTGGCAGATTTCATGTGTGCCCATTATAAGTGGGTGGATACAGGGCGGTATATTCTAATGGTGTGCATACCACAAACTTTTTCTGACAGAGATTTCTTCTTTTCTTTTCATTCAGCCCACAGGCTGCATAAAAAAAAAAAGAACATAGCATATTCATGCAACAAGGACCAGTGGCGCACTGGTACATCACTGGACTTTGAATGATTATACCAGGATGATGCCTGCAGCTGCCCCCCTCCCCCGCTACCTTCCACAGCCTTCTTGGGCAGTCCCGTACCATTGGGGGAACCTGAGAATGCAGCCGGTGTCTCTGCCGGCTAAACCATAGAGCTGATTGGAGACTGGAATGGTGCCAATCATCTCTATAATCTAAGAAATTGAAAGCTACGAGCATTTCATCACTTCAGTTTTGCAGGATATAAACAGCGCCATTTGTAAATTGGGAAAGCATCTGATCACACCGATCTTGGTGAGATTAGACAATGTAAGGGCAGAGGAGAGATCTAGAGTCTGATAGACCCCAGATTTCTCAAAAAAGAATATATGCCCATTGAAGTTATAAGGAATATTTGCATTCCTTGTGATAGCATTAAAGTGATCCAAAAAAAAAATTATAAGAAAGTGTAAAAATAATTTCAAAAATCAAAATAACTTAAAAAAAAAAAAAAAACCTACCTCGCCCCCTCACGCACACGCACCTGGGTGCTTGAGCGTTGACCCCATGCCAGTATGTTAACAGCGGTTGCACCATGCATGTGAGGTATCACGGCAAACGTCAGATCAAGTGCAGTAATTCTAGCACTAGACCTCCTCTGTAAATCTAAAATGGTAGCTTGTAAAGGCATTTAAAGCGTTGCCTATGGATATTAAAAATGTATGAAGTTTGTCACCATTGCACGGGACATGCGCAGTTTTAAAGCATGTCATGGCTTGGTATCTATTTATTTGGCATACCATCATCTTTTATATCTTACCAAATAACTGGCCAATATATTGTGTTTTTGTGCATTAAAAGTAAAAAAAAAAATTATTTTTTTCAAAATATTTGTGTCTGAAAAAATCGCTACGGGAATACTATGTGACATAGAAAAATTGCAGCACCCACTATTTTATTCATTAGGGTGTCTGCTTTAAAAAAAATATAATGTTTGGGGATTCAAAGTAGTTTCCTAGCAAAAAATACAGATTTTTTTCATGTGAACAAAAGGTGTCAGAAAAGGCTTGGTCTTTAGGTGGTTAGAAGAGTGAGTGATGTGTGGCATAAACTTCTAATGCTGGGCATAAAATGCCCCCACCTCCAAAAATGACCCCTTTTTGGAAAGTAGACACCCCAAACTATTTGCTGAGAGGCATGTTGAGTCAATAGACGAATTTATTTTTTACCCCAAGTTTTTGGGAAATGACAAAAAAATATTTTTGTTTACAAAATGTGTCACTTAAATGATTTATTGCTCACACATGCCATGAATATATGTGGAATTACACCCCAAAATACATTCTGCTACTTCTCCTGAGTATGGGGATACCACAAGTGAGAGACTTTTTGGCAGTCTAGCCAAGTACAGGACCCCAAAATCCAACAATCACCTCCAGGCTTTTAAAGGGCTTTTTATTTCCTCATCACACTTCCTGATACCTATCACAGTTTCGGAGGCCCTGAAATGCCAGGATATCACCTACCCCTCGCCCCCCCCCAAATGACCCCTTTTTGGAAAGTAGACACCAAGAAATTTTATTAATAGCTTGGTGAGTATTTGCAGATCTTGTTTGTTGCCACAAGTTTTTAGAAAATGAAGAAGGAAAACAAAAACATATTTTTTAAATTTTTTTATAATATATATTTTTTTTATATTTCAAAACCTTGTGAGAAAAAATTAGATATTCAAAATACTCACCATGCCTCTTTTTAAATTCCTCAGGGTGTTTACTTTCCAAAAAGGAGTCATGGGGGGGGGGGGGTGTTGGTGAATTTCAGGGCCTCCGAAACTGTGATAGGTAGTGAGAAAGTGAAATGAGGAAGTTACGCACCTTGGGGCTTTCAAAGGGGTCATTGGATTTCAGGCTCCTGTATGTGGCTAGGCTCCCAGAAAGTCTCACACGTGTGGTATCCCCATACTCGGTAGAAGTAGCAGAATGTATTTTGAGGTGTAATTCCATATTTACCCATGGCTTGTGCGAGAAATATATCATTTAAGTAACAACTTTGTTTAAAAAAAAAAATGTTTTTGTCATTTTCCAAAAATGTGTGGAAAAACAAAATCTTCCATGGACTCAATATGCCTCTCAGCCGATAGCTTAGGGTGTCTACTTTCCTAAAAGGGGTCATTTGGTAATGTTTGTACTGTCCTGGTATTTTAGCACCTCAAGAAATGTGATGGGCAGTCAGAAAGTAAAAGCTGTGTAAATGCCATTATCTATACCATAGTTTGTAGATGCTATAACTTTCACACAAAGCAATCAATATACACTTCTTGGAATGTTTTTACCAAAGACATGTAGCAGAATACATTTTGGCCTAAATTTATGACTAACGTTGAGTTTACTATATATTTTTTATAGCCAAAAGTAAAAAATATTGTTTTTTTTTCCCAAATTTTTGGTCTTTTTTTGTTTATAGTGCAAAAAATAAAAAGTACACAGGTGATCAAATACCACCAAAACAAAGCTCTGTTTGTGTGAAAAAAGGACATAAATTTTGTTTGGGTACAGCATTGCATGGCCGCGCAATTACTAGTTGAAATAGTGCAGCACCAAATAGCAAAAAAAAGCCTGGTCAGGAAGAGGGGTAAATCCTCCCGGAGGGCAAGTGGTTAATGATGACACTACCAAAACACAATGAAATCTTAATCAATAAATTATTCGAGTATATTATCAATCAGCCTACAGCAAATGTTTACTACACACGTACAGGTTTGCATTAAGTCTTGGCATCTGTGTTTTGCATGGCCTTGTGCAATTATCACCAAAGCAGAAAGCTGGACAGGCTGGCCTCTAATCTTTATAGAATAACACAGTTGATACACAGGCAGAATATTACTCAGTAACAATAAATGGTCCAGTAATTACAATTCACCTTCAAGAAATCATTGAATACCAAAAGCAGCTGCAATATCTCCTTCTAGCACAAAGTATTTTAATACAATGCATGCCCAGTAAAAGAACTGTTGATTAAAACTGAACTACAAGCAGATAAATACACAATGGAAGAAATAAAGCAAATTATTTAGATGCTAAAAACATGACACTAAAAACCAAATAAAATGTTACAATTTTAATGTATGATAACATAAAACCATACACCAAGAATATGGTATTGTTAAAATCAACATTTAGTTACATTGGAGATTACTGTGACTTTTTTGTGAATTATTGCAGAAGCTTCCTCTCAACATGTTTCACCATAAACTGGCTTCTTCAGGAGTCTTATGAGTACTGCAAGTGTTGTTACTATCAAATAAACCAAATTCATATATCAGTACAATACACCATATTTGCTTTTTGATTATATTCATATGGAGAATATACAACATGAAAACTACAAAATGAGTTCTACAGGGGGCTTCATACCAAAGGGCCTTGTGCAGATCCCACCATGATCACTAATAAATCTAGTAATGAATTCAATATATATATATATATATAGTTATTATTAAAGCTTGTATAAGTGTCTAAATCTCTCTTCAATAGGGTTGTGTGGACCTCTGCATAGCTCAACTAGGGAGGAAAGGGTAGCACTGTGAGGATTAAAGTACATCCTTTGGGATCAGCTAATCTCTACAATCATGATGGACCACATTTGTACATGTACACTAGCCTTAAGCCAGATAAGGTCTAGTGTTGTCAATTGTGAGCATTCTTACGGGAGGAGAAGCAGAGTGATGCCCTCATCTTTGTATTTTAGTTGTGTATTTACCTGTTAGCTTGGAATTCAATTTTAAATGTGTAGATAAGTGTAAATATTCTCTAGAACTAAACATGAAACTAAAATGCTTATGTTGATGATCTCCAATATCTTTCATGAACTTTCTGGTCTTTGAATAAAATAGATGTAGAGTTTCCATGAACTGGTTGAGCTTCACAAATTACCTTAAGGTTACTGGCTTTTACCACAACTACCACAACTACCACTACCACAACTAAGAATATGGTGACATGGCTTGCTTTGTATCAGGTGCATTAAGTGCATAAATGGCATAAATTACAATTACTTGAATTTAAATGTTTCTCCAAGTTCCACTGCGCTGCCGGGTGTAATTTCAAAAATGCCACTGAATGGGTAGGGATGTCCTCCATAGGCAAACTCTGTAAATAAACAAATACATATACTTAATAAATGTTAACCAATAATCACTTCACAATGAAGAGGTAAAAAAATGGCACTGATAGATATTGACATAGAATGTGCTGAGTCAATATTTCTCTGAACTGACTTTATTCAACTTGTTTGACATCTAAGTAGCCGTGACCGCCTAAAAGATATCTACAACTAAGAAGAAAAATGTAATATTGCAGGAAAAAATACAATGGAAAATGTGCCACTGTGCTTGTGGTCCCTCCCAGTGACTTATGTGCACCACCTCCATGGCATTGCATGGATGCAACATCACAGGTTGCCCCTTTATTAGATAAATCCAGCAAAACAGAGCCCATCTAATTGCTTGAAGAAGTAGTCCTAGGGCACTGATGGGAAACAGAGACTCCTCCAGGCTGTAAGAATGCTGAGTGTGCCGATGACCTGGTACTCCCTCCTCAATTTTTTTTTCTGACAGAAGGAACACCTTGGCCTGGTTGGCGTCCAACACCAAAACCAGGTATTCCAGGAGCCAGAATCGGAAAGGAATTCTTGAACTTTAAATTCCACCTGAATTCCTCCAAAGTCTAAAAGATGGAAAGGTTGGACAGTTTGGAATAAGACTCCACACAGAATAGGTCATCCAGGTACCCCATGATTGGTATCTCTGGCAACAACATCTTGGCAAGGCTGTAAACTAATAAAGCTCCTGCTCTACCACAAAGTCCAAGAACTGCTGGTGGCCCTGGTAAATGTGTACATGGAGGTACAGTATGCTTCCTTGACATCTATTTTTGCCAGACAGTCCCACTGATGCTGGGATGTTACTAACAAAAAGGTCAACCTCTTTGTGAACTTGCAAATTTTGACAAAAAGTCCAATGCTTTGAGATAGATCATACTCACTCTTCTTGGGCATTGTGAGGAGGTTTGTGTAAAAATCATGGGGTCTTCCTGCATCTGAAACTGGACTCTCCACCCCCTAGGCCAAGAGTCTCTTGATGGGCAGACATAAATCTGAGGATAAAGGCACAGGTTGAAGGCGTGTGTGACACTCTTTTTTGTGGCCTCAGGCTATCAGTTTGTGAACTCATTTGTGTGACATATTTGCTAGCCAATAGTCCACAAACTTTAAAAGTCATCCCGCACCTTAAACTTAACATGTGGTGGCCATTGTTAGGAAACCACCGGTCGAAGCCAAGATGCTAAGATTCTCTAAAAGGGATATAGTGACTTATCATTTGGCTTGCCTTCCATATATGGCCCTGCCAGGAAAAAAACCCCACAGGCTGCCCACAGGGAAAATGGACTGTGGCAGCCGACCCTACATGCTCTCAATGGCTGAACATAGGGTGAGTATCAAAATCTATATTATCTGGCCTTTCGCCCAGTTGGTGACTTGCTTGAAGCAAAACCTAATAAACTAGGATTTCTAACTTTTAGACACCATGGTAATAGCTGGGTTGTTCCAGAGTTTGTGTCTGTATGGGGTGGGGAGGTAGAAGGGTGTGAAGGAGGCAACCAAAAGGTGTTTTGCGTGGGCTGTTTTTAGGTTTTTAGTTGAACCTAGCCCCCTACTCCTGCAGGCAGCACTATTCTCACTTGGTGATAATCTAAATCTGTGTCCTCCAGATAATGAGAGAAAAAATACTTTTGCTTCTGGCTAAGGATGTTTTCTGCAAAAACAAAGTACATGTTGATACTGTCAGTCCATGCAAATTCTTGTGTTCTGAACTAAAATTTCAAATATTATTGTCAGTTTTTCCAGCTATGATCTGTATGCTACAGCTATCCCCATGTAATAGAGATTAGGAGAGGTGGAGGTGTTTGTATTCCAAATCAGAGAAGAAGCCTAAGGTGACAACACTGGTCCTCCATAGATACAGTGTAGTGAGTAAGCGTTGTCTCCTTATCATAAGAAGTGTGGTAATGGCAGAATCACCAGATGAAAATGGACCATAAACCAGAACACAGCAATATATACAATTTTTTTTTTGGGGGGAGGGGTTAGATACAAATTAACTGTTTATTGTGTACCTCTCTTCATGTACAACACAGCTACCATATTCGAGCAAAGAAATTCCAGAGAAGAAATTGCCAGCACATGAGCTCACACTTGGATCTTATCTCTTACAATACTACATACGATTAAAAATTATAATATGTCAATTAACACTGAAAAAATAGTTATTCTTGAGACGCCAACTCAGTTACTGGTGGACTTCCCTCCTTTGATTCTTTAAGAATTGGGCAGAGTGGATTACCAATTTCAACTTTAACTTATTTAGCTGCTTAGTTGAAACTTGTCTTGGAAATAATCTGGAAAATCTTGGAAAAATATCTTTTTACTTCCCTCCACCTAAAATATTTCAGTTTGTTTTTCAATTGAGTTGTATAGTTTATAGGTCACATTAAAGGTGGAAAAAGTTCTGAAATGATTTATCTTTGTCTCATTTTTTTACATCACAGAAACCTGACATTTTAACAGGGGTGTGTAGACTTTTTGCTTCCCACTGTGGTCAAAAACAAAAGGCAGTTTGACACACTAACAATTAGAAAATTGAATTAATGTTCTCAACCACTTACCTAACCCCATATAGCAGATATACTGCTACAGGGCGGCCCCTCTGCGCAAAATCACGTAACTACTTGTGATTTTGCTGTTCTGGGTAGGGTGCGTGCCATTGGTTGCAGCAAATGTCAATCACCGGGTCCCGGCCAACACTCAGTGATCGCCGCTAAAGCTGTAAACAACATAGTTCTCTCTCCTGTCAGTATGGACATGCTGGTTTCTCTCTCTCTGCACAGCAGAGAGAGAGAAAGCAGCCTGTCTCCCTAGAAAAAATCACACAGTTAACCCTTTGATTGTCCTAGATGTTATCCCCTTCCTGCCCAGTGTCATTAGTACAGTGTCAGTGCTTTTTATTAGCACTGATCACTGTTTTAGTGTAACTGGAGACGTCAGTGGCCATTAGTTCCCACCCAGTGTCAGAATGCCCACCGCAGTCCGCTATAAGTCGCTGATTGCCACCATTACTAGTATAAAAAAATAAAAAAAATTCAAGTATATACCTCCATTTGTAGACATTATAACTTTCTCGTAAACCAATTAATTTACACGTATTGGGATTTTTATTAGCAAAGACATGTAGCAGAATACATTCTGGCCTAAATTTATGAGGAAATTTTATTTTTTTTATTGTTTTATTGGATAAGTTTTATAGCAAAAAGTCAAAAAAGTTTTTTTCTCAAAATTGATGGTCTTTTTTTGTTTATAGCACAAAAAATTAAAAACACAGATATGATCAAATACCACCAAAAGAAAGCTCTATTTGTGGGGAAAAAATAACATAAATTTCATGTTATTGATTGTTGCATGACTGCGCAATTGTCAGTTAAAGTAACGCAGAGCAGTATCGCAAAAAATGGCCTGGTCAGGAAAGGGGATAAATCCTCTAGCGTACAAGTGGTTAACATAAAAAAAATACTAATACAAAATTCTACTAGTGTATGGGCAGCTTAATGAAAGATGATTCCTAGGTGGTTGGTTTGTGTTACTGTACAAAGGATGCTGCTTTATGAATATGTGACATAACGACTTCAGCAGAACCATATTTTCACAAGGGACAGCAGTTAACTATATAAATCAATTTATATTTTACAAAATAGCAAGCTGTCTTTATTTTATAGTTTAAGAAAACATACATTTTGTTGTACTTGCCAAACGAACTGTTACATTAGTGACGTTTTGCTGGAAATAACATGCTTTTGAAATGTAAAGCATTTTAAAAATCTATGCCAAACAGATGCCAGACTCAAGTTGGCAGGGAATCCTGATACTGATTCAAATTGTTAAGACATTTATTCCAATGAACCTGTTATTTTCCTAAATTGAAAATACAAAAATATCACAGTATTCAAGATGAACTTCACACATCTCAAAAACAAAATTTGTGCCTTTATTTTCTTCAGATTTTTTAAACAAAGAGAAGCAGAGCTGAAAAGTGATACCAAAATCTAAATGATCTAATTGCTGTCCTTAAAGTGAATCTGTCAGCCATTTTAAACCATTTTAATTAAAGGAGAAGTCCTTACATAAAAATTTTAAAAAATACATACCCACCTCTATGCTGTGGCATTGGTGTCCCACATCGGCTCTAAGACCACTGATCACTCAGCTCATGGCCTTTTTGGAGCATAGAGCAGTGACTGTCTGACACTGCTTTCTGTTCCACCCCTCCAGCACTCACTGGAGATCTGTGAACAGGGCATGTGCGGCTGATTTCAGCTCCCAGCCATGCACTGATAGGTAGAGCCAGTTGTCAGTCAGGCAGCTGGGTGGATCCTGACAATATGGTCCAGATTCTTTCAGAGCCTAGAGGGACTCTGGCGATATAAGTCGACAGTGGGAAGTTTCCTGCTAAATGCTGACTCTGGGTCAAAGGAGCACAAAAGTAAGTGCATTCCATGTGGGTGAGGTGCAATGTGCAGTGTGTTATGAGCCAAACAAAATGAATGGCTCAAATCACACTGCAGATTGCACCACACCCACAGGGAAACCGCATGTGATTCAGACAGGAATTGAACCATCTTACCATCTGCACCCTCTTCATTCCTTGCCCTCCCCTTCCCTTCTTCCCTACAGTTCAACTGCTTTGATCTTTCCTCATCCTCACCACTGGTCTTGCATAGATACGATTTATTTTCTGATTATTTTTGGCTGAAATTTGGCTCTAATGTCAGTCCTGGGATGAAGTATCTTTGGGAACGCTATTTCTAGTGCAGATTCTGAATGCTGTAATGGAATAATAATTATTCCATTGTACTAAATGAGTTTTATGTGGCTTTCTATTCATAATATTTTCCTCTGTGCAGTTTAATGACCACATACTACTCTGTTCTACTGTTTCTGTATTCGTAAATTGTTAAAAATTCAAGAATAACTGCTGAAACAGAAAGTGCTTATTGAGGGCATTTCCTTTGAATAAGGTGCAGACAAGTAGATAGAGAAT